TGGGAATGAGTGTGCAGACTCTGACATTTTGTTGAGTCTCACCATTGCAAGTGAGGGATTTACCCAGGGGAAAATCCCACCATGGAAACCCCTCTCACAGAACACCCCGTGGCTGCGGAGATGGAGGAAGAGAGCCCTGAACTCGGAGCAGTGGGGGGGTGCGAAGAGGAGGAAGAACCCCTAACAGCAACCTACGCCCGCCTTCCTCCACCCTGCGACCCCGAACGGCGCTTAACCAAGCTATGGAGCAGGGAAGAGTTGTTTGGGGGAACGTCGTTCCTGGACATGGGTCCCGAACAGCGTTGGGCTCTGACTATGGGGAGAGTTGAATCCACCTGCATGGGAGCCATAGAGGAGGGCATGAGCATGCTGCAAGCCGAGAACAGCTTGATTCGACAAGAGCTGAGAGGGCTAAGTAACATAATACGACGTTCAGGTATGTTTCGGGGCTCCGAGGCAGAGGGGGAGTGCGGAGAAGAGAGGTTGGAAGAGGCGCTACTAGTCACCCCCCTCCTCCCACGACAGTAACTCCGGCAGCACAGGGGCCTCCGCCCATTCAAGCCGCACCACTTGCACACTTTCCGACGGCTCAACGACTGCCCACCCTGCCCCAACCCAACCAAGGCGCCCTCCTAAAACGCTGGGGTTTAACCGAGAAATTTAGCGGAGACCCGAGTGAGTTGGCTAGCTTCATGGCTCAAGTTACCTTATTCATGGAACAAACGGGCCACCTATTCGCCTCCAACCGAGAGTGCGTGATCTACATTTGCAGGGCGCTTTCTGGAAAAGTAGGGGAGTGGTTGATTGAAATGCGTGGAGCCCAAGCGCCCAAGCTGCACCACCTTGGCCGGTTTCTAACAGCCCTACGTAGGAGATTCGAGGACCCGGGAGCAGTCACGCGAGCTTGCTCCCAATTAATTAAAGTGCAGCAGGGGTCTCGCAGTGTTGGCGAATACAGATTAGAATTCCGGAGCATCGCGGGGAAGCTACCCAACTGGCCGGAACAGTTTAAAATCGCCTGCTTCCAGCAAGGTCTGCGGTGCAACCTGTGGAAATTAGCCTACGCGCGAGGAAGCCCACGTACACTTGAGGGATGGATCGAGCACGCCGCAGAGATTGAAGCCGAATGGATGGCCGTGGATCCAGAATTCAATCAGAAGTCCAGCGGTCCAGCCCAGGCGCCTCGGAAACCACCAGCGAGAGGAGGAGACGAGAAATTTCCTAGAGCGGCAAAGCAATGCGTCTGTTTTCGTTGCGGAGAGCCGGGGCATTTTGCACCTGCCTGCACTAAACCGATGACTGCGCGTGCGCAGGAGCTGCGGAAACCCGGAGCTGCTCAGAAACCTGGCGGCGGTAAAGGGAAGAGGGGATGAACAGAGTCGCTGTTCCCAGATCTCATCCTCTATGAAGAAGGGTTGGTGGGGAAGGAGCAGAAGACCACAGGCGATCCCGATCCGCCCCCTGACAAAACGGCGGTGACGAAGGTCGACGAGGACAACGATTCTGATGAAGACGAGGGGGTGAGTGTTACTACCGTAAAAGTGACTATTTCAGCGCCCAGAATGGAGCGCAGAGCTACGCTAACTGCGTTAATGGATACAGGCTGCTCGCGCTGTTTGATCAGTCCAATTCTGGTCAACGCTTTAGAACTACGGGTGAAAAAACTAAAGACTCCCATAGTATTCACCCAACTGGATGGATCCCAAGCAGGGGGAGGGGCTGTGCTGTACCGCACTGAGCCTTTTGAACTGCAAGTGGGGACCCACCAAGAGACTCTTAAATGTTTAGTGGCTCCTTTGGGTAGTTATGCCCTAATCTTGGGAGCAAACTGGATGAGAAGGTGGGACCCCCAAGTTTTTTGGAAGACAGGACAAATGCAGTTTGCAGATGGGGTCTATCTAGGGTCTGACTCAGGCAAGGAAAAAGGGGCAACGGCTGCAACCGCAAGCAGTGGGAGTCAGCCTCAAAACCTGGACCCGGAGTCCACTGAGAACATTCCTAAACCTTACAGAGATTTGAAAGCTGTTTTCAGTAAAAAGGAATCAGACACATTGCCTCCCCATAGAGACACTGACTGTGCTATTGAAATTGAACTGGGGGCTAAATTCCCAAAGAAGAAAACATATTCTATGACTCAAAAGGAACTGGCAGCTTTAAGGGAGTTTATAGACACCAATCTGGCCAGAGGGTTTATACAACCTGCTAAATCACAGATGGCTGCACCTGTGTTATTTCGGGAGAAAAAGGATGGAAGTTTAAGACTTTGTACTGACTATAGGGGCCTCAATGCTATTTGTAAAGAAAACAAATACAGCTTACAACAATACTGTGCACCAAAGTACAGTGGAACCTCAGTTCACAAACTTAATTGGTTCCGTGACTCTGGTCGCGACCCGAATTGGTCACGACCCGAAGCAAATTTTCCCATAAGGAATTACGGTTAATCCATTCTGGCGCGGAGGACAGGGAGGCGGCTATTGCTTGGAGGGAGAGTCCCCCTCCCTACGACCACGTGTCAGGGGTGGAAAATGGCCACGGATCACGTGTCGGGCAGAAAAATGGCCGTGGGTCACGTGTTGGGGCGGAAAAATGGCCGCGGACCACGTGTCAGGGGCAGAAAATGGCCGCGGACCGTGTCACGGGCGGGAAAATGGCTGCGGATCCTGTTCGTGACCCGATCCGGCGTTCGCGAACGGAGGCAAAATTTTGCGACTGGAGCTGTTCGTGACCCAAATTGGTCGTGAACAGAAGCGTTCGTGACCCGAGGCACCACTGTACTGGATTTACACCTTATAAAATAGCTTCTGGTCAGGACTTTCCGGCTTTCCCAGAGCTACCATTAAAGGACTTTCCTGAACTTTCAGCTGATCAATTACACAATTGTGGCCTCTCATTGTAAAAACGCTACAAAAAGCCAGAAGCCAACATAAAAAGTTTGCTGATAGAAAATGTACTGCAAACCCTACCTGGAAAGTAGGTGACATGGTATGGCTGTCTACCAAGAACCTAAAATCCTCCCAGCCTTGTAAAAAGCTTGCCCCAAAGTTCGTTGGGCCTTTCCCCATTGAAAAAATTATTAATCCTGTTGCATTCAAATTGACTTTGCCAAAACATTACAGAAATATACATCTTGTTTTCCATGTGAATTTACTGAAATCATTCAAACAATCAAATACATGGCATCCAACAATAAAACTTACGAGTCCCATCATGATTGAAGGACAAAGCCATTTTGAAGTTAAAGACATATTGGACTCTAGAAGATATAAAGGCAAACTACAATACCTGGTTCAATGGACACATTTCCCTAAAACACACCATGAATGGGTTGACAGTTCAAATGTTAAAGCTCCTAAACTCATTTCTTTGTTTCATTCAAAATATCCTGATAAGCCTAAATGAACACTGTTGTAATTTACAGTTTGTATATATATTCTTTCTGTTTTTCAGATTTTCTTTCAAATGTGAGAACATTCGTTCTGTTGGAGGGTGGCATGTCAGGATCTACGCAAGCTAGAATCTTCGATTGCTTTTAATTTAGTTTTATTATGCATAGTCCAATTCAAGGTGTTGGTTATCACCTTTAAAGCCCTTCATGGCATGGGACTAGGTTATCTGAGGAACCGCCTCGCTCCGCTCATCTCAGCCCGCCCCACTCGGTCCAGCAGAAGGGCCAGGTTGCAGACCCCACCGGTCAGGGGATTTCGATTGGTGGACTCTAGGCAGAGGGCCTTTTCTGCTGCAGCGCCCGCCCTATGGAACATCCTGCAATCGAAGGTGCGGGGGGCCCCCTCCCTCGAGCCCATCAGGAAGGGGCACAATGCCTGGGTCTGCCGGAAGGCCTGGGGGCCAGAGGGGGGCCCGCACCCGTGGAGGTGGCTGGTGGGGGGATAGGTTGTTTCCCCCCCCCCCCGCCTTTTAAAGGTTTTTTGGGGGAAAAAAACATGTTTTTTTGGGGTTTTTTTAATTATTTATAGATTGTATCCATGTCTGGAGAGACCTGTGTTTTTTCTTTTTTTTTTATTATTGTGAGCCACCCAGAGTCACCCGTTGGGGGAGATGGGTAGCATACAAGTCTGAAAATAAAATAAAAAATAAATAAAATAGTAAATGGTTAATAGTAAAAATGTTAATTGCAAGCCAGTTGCTTGACCTGCCATTGAAGTGGGGAGAGGATGCCAGGTGCTGTTATCTTTACACAGGCATCTCGAAGGCCAAGCACTGTGAGAACCGGAGCAAGGCGCAAAGAATTTCAAGCAGGAAAAGAAAGGAGCAAGGGGGGGAGTTTGGGCTTTAAAAGGGAAAGGTTTTGCTTTGTAGAATTAGACTCAACAATCTATAGCTGCTGTGCATTTCTCCCAATAAAGAAATCTTGGATGGAACTGTTTAGTCTCCAGCAGATTTACTGAACTTTGGGAATGAGTGTGCAGACTCTGACATTCTGCTTAACCGTATTACTCATTTGCTGATTTCTGTTTCTTCTACAACTAGTAATGCTTGAAAGCCGTATTATCCCCTCATTCGTTTGCCAGATCAAGGGACATCTGTCATTTGGATGGATCATGATGTCGTTCCTGCTCAGAAAAACCTCTTGGACCTCTGTCTCCTGCATCGCTGGCCAATCACAGCTTAATTTACTGTTTAGAAATAGAGCCCTGTTTTGGATGAAATTTAACACGCAATTCAGTCAGCCAGCTCTCTTCTGCTATAATCTGTCCTCTTGGTTAAACACCTGCTAATTTATACAGAAAGTCTGAGGGCATAAAAACGGTGGTGGTGGTGCAGCAGAGATTAAGCTGATCTATGGCCCACGCTGTTTGCTTGTTCCCACTTAAAACTACAGAGCCTCCACATTCAGGAGTAGCAGCTTATCTTTTATGACCAGATGTTTGAGACCATCAGCCATTTTGATTTGGTCAGGAGGCAGACAGGTAAATGGGATCATCATCTTTCTCCTGCACTGAACTATATTCAAATGCATTTTTTTTTCCTGTATTTAGGTGTCAGGATCTTTAGAACAGGGGTTTAATTCCCCCAAATCGGATCATTCTCCACCTCATGTCCTGAAGATGCAGCTCCCTTTGGAAAAGAAGCAGGAGGATGATTGGGAGGCCACCTTGTCGGGTAAGTTAGCTTGAACCCTTACCTTTTTTGTTGTCGGCTATGGTTTCTTTGTGGTCTCTTTTTCCCTTCTCCATCCTCCCTGCAGAGTTGCCAAGCAGGTGTGCAGGCTCCCTCCACTGGTTTTGCAACGTGATCCCAGTTACCCCTTTAACTTCCCCAAACACTCTGATTCCTGAAGGTCGTCATTTTGGAGAGAAGGGATTTCAGGAACACGGGGAGAGGGTGGCAAGGCGCTTAGCCTCTTAGATCGGGTGACAGCTGTGGCAAAGCGCTTAGCCTCTTAGATCGGGGTCGCTCTGACTGGCAAAGCATTTTCCTTGAACCAGGAATGTTGTTCTGGGTCAGAGGAGCATCCAGGTGGGGACCAGCCTACTTGCTTCAACACAAATGGTTCCTGGGCATACCCAGAGAAGCCCCTTTGGTTGATTAGATCAAAGTGGTCTGATGGCTTTGAGGTACTGCTTTGCTTCAAAGTTTTTTTTCAAAAAAAGCACCTTCTGAAGCTTTGCGCAGCCCCATTTAACACCATTTCCCACAAGCTGCACAGAGAGCACGGTTTTTATCACATTATAGCTGGACACAAACAACCCGACCTTCTTTTTTCCTGATCATCTAATTCATCTTCATGCACCAGCATGATTTGGAATGACATTTTATTATTTGTTATTTTATATTATTATGGTTGGTTGCGCAGTCAGCCAGATGTTTAGACTGGATTTGGTATTTTTATCCACCTATCGAATCCTTCCCAAGGACCTGGGGTAGACAGATCTTGTTTTTTGATGGTGTTAGAAGTATTG